CATCGTTTTAATGTAGAACTAATAACCCCCCTGGGATCCCTAAGCACAACCCTTTGCTCGCGGGGCTGCTGAACCAGTGGGCACTAGTCAAGCTAAAGCCTCCTAAAGCATAAATACTTCAGACTGGGCCCTTAATTCACAAAACCAGCAGGTTTTACTAAAAAAATCAGACACTAACACACTGCAAAGTATAAAATTGAGACAATGAACCAAATGAGAAATGGGCTTTTAGGAAAAGCAGCATATGAACACCTTCACAGTTTCTGTGACATTTGGGTTGGGGGGGTGGGGGGGTGTTTTTTTAAAATTTCTTTTTTTTCCTCTTTTTGGAAGTCATTTGCTAGATTAATGAGGTGATACTGTGGGCAGGCACTGCTCCTGCTGGTGGAGCTGGGCTGGAGAAGGCTTTGGACCAAGGCCATCCCTCCAGCATTGACAAGCCCCACTCCTACTACCAGAGGTGCTTTACTGAGCTCTTTGTCACCCCTCTGCTTTCCCTAACTCCTCCTTCTTTGCTCCGCTTTACCCAAATTTTCTTACACTACTGAGCAGAAAACCATCGACTGTTACATTATGATAGGATAACTACAGCCCTACACTGTACTTTCATACTCACACTATTTCATTCTCATTTCCTCAGCTGATGGTCTATTTTCCATCAATACAATTTAAACATTTATCCACAAAAATAATTTAAAGTTTTTAGGTATCTCCTCCTGCTGCAGATAACTTAAGAGCTGCTGAGAGGCTTTTGCCTCCTGACAAATGACCCCAACCACTGTTGGGAAACCAACCAGCAAGTTTTTAAACCTCCCTGAGATTTTTTACATTTCACTTGCTGAACGTCCGTGATCAAAGGTTGGTGATGATCTTACATGGCAAGGAGCACGTAGGGAACAAATTTATTCTCAGATATTTTAAATATTTCATATTTTAAATATTTCATATTACATTATATTCATAATGTAAAAAATGCAAAGGATCTCTTCAATCTCCCTAAGCAGAGCTAAAAACATGGGCCAGAACTGAAGTTTAACAAGTATCACCACTTCATACAGTCACAAATACAGCAAATACATTCAAAATGGCTCAGGGACAAAAGCAGGGACTTCAAAAAGAAAGTAATTTGGTAAAGAACACACATGTATAAATATGCTCCTTTTATTCAGGGTGGGGGAAAAAAAAAATCTATTGCGTGCATCTGAATACTTACGAAACTGCATCTGATGAACACGACTTCGAATTGAAAAAAGCACGAAAGAAATGTAAGGAAGAACGCAAAGATTTTCTATAAAACCAAACAGTTCCAAGCAAACCTATTAGGCAGCCAGGCATTTTGGGTTTCATTTCAGCACTAACTAAAGCACATATTTTAGTGCTGTGCCATTGCTCTTGATTAAAATCAAAATCAAGTTCTACATTTTTTCGGTTTAGCACTTAGGATAGGGAGGAAATGAATTAAAAGAAACTCAACAAATTTTAAAAGAACACTGAAGAAGAAATTAATTTATCAAATTAGCAATGCACAGTGGCACTTCAAAACCCCAGAGAAACAGAAAGGATGCCTGCAGGTTACTCCTTATGATACCAAACAGAGCAAATCCAATCAGATGAACATGCTGCAGGATCAGTCAGGCGAAAGCCACAGGAGCAGCATTACAAAGTGAAAGATGTACAAAAAGAGGATTTTCTAAACCTATTGTACTAGCTTGAAACCAAGCTATTCCCCCCTGGAGGAGATGACAGCATTGCTGGTACAGTCCTGCAGAACAAGCTGTCCAAAAAAACCCTCAAAGACAACACAGAGGAAAACTCGAAAAAAGTTTTAATGAGAAATTAAAAATCCTACTAGAACATTAGGGCTGCAATGTTGCATTTAAAATAACACATCTCCATTCAAAACCCCATTTCCTACAGGGGAGTGTAAGCAAATTGTTATATTTTACCATGCTATTTCATAACTTCTTGTCTTTAATGGTGCCATCATAGATAGCTCCCTGCTTCACATTTCCCCTTGCTTAAAATAACCACCTATCGCAAAGGCACTGACCTTCAGGAATAAGTGAATGAATGAGAAAACTGGCACGCCAGCACGCGACCAAATTGAAAACGATGGCAGCAGTTATTTTGGAGCACGGAGATGAACAGAGAGAAGAATATGATTATCTACACGTAAAATACTGAGTGACACCGACAGCAGACAGGAACTTCTGTTTGCCCAGTCTTGTGAAACAAGAATGAGCTGGTGCTCAAAGGAATAAAAAGACAGCAAATAAGAAAACCAAAAAAGATTTTTTTCTTTTTTTTTTTTTTCCTCAGCAAGCGATCAACTCAAGACGGCACAGAGGCCAACTGCTTCATCATGATGGAAATTTATTACCTGCCTTTAAGAGAAAATGACCATCAAGCCACATGAAAAGGAATAAAATAGACAAAGAAAAAGAATATTTCAAAGGAACGTACATGCTTCCGAGCAGAAGGCATCACCTAATTATCGAGTTAAGGTGTTTTGCTATGCAGTACAGTTAACCCTCCTCTGAAAAATCTGCTCATGGTATTTTTAAGTGGCAGGATGGAGCGTGATGGACTACAGCTCATACACTAAGTCTGTTGTTATTTTATTTATATATACAAATGCTATTTTATAGCTTTTATACGTATATAAAAAAAGTAAAAGACACATCAAGCTTACATAAACACTGCATTTTCAAAACTGGGCTCTCAAAACAGTTTCAGAAACCATCATGCCAAACAAGTACTAGAGTTCTCACCTCGCCACACCTGCAGTTTCTGGCAGTACCACAGATTGTGCAGGAGAGGATGTACCAAGTAAAACACAATTTTGGTTTTCTTAGAAAATGTGATATTTTTGACTATTTAATCCTGCTAGAGAGCCTTGAAAACAGAAAGAGAAGTTGCAAATCCATATCTATTGCAGCTCAAAGTAGAAACATCAACTATTCACATGAAAATATATTCATAAGGAAATGCAAATGGAAAATACAACCCCACAAATCACCTCATTAGCAACACTGTGCAGCCACCCTGCAGCACCTGCTGGGTTCGAGGGACCAGACTGGATGTGTGTTTTTCCCTGCCAGGATGGTCAAGCAGTGGAGCAGGTGGGACCAGCACATCCACCCATGGGAGTTTGCTTTGAGCGGAGGTTGGACTGGGTGATCTCCGGAGGTCCTTTCCAACCCAGCTCCTCCCATCAAGAAAGAGAGCAACCTCCAAGCTGCCTCCCATTAACCTGTTTTAACACCACCAGACCGGTTCAGCCACCTTTCTATGTGACCCTGGAATAGCAGCACAAGTAATTATGCTGAGGAAAGCGAGTCACACTTCAACAAGGCAGTAACCACTGCTGCTCCCCCAGCCAGCCCATCATACAGGCTGCCGACACAAGCTGCAAACACTTCTCTTGGACAGCTGTTTTCATCCCCCAGCTCCCTCAACGACCTACTTACAAGTCATAAGGTTGCTTGCTGTTGAAATGCATATTAAGCTCAGAACAAACAAACAAAAAACCACATCTTTTTTCATCCTGGGTCCAATTTTTGAGATTTGGTGTTTAAAAATGCTCCGCAGTCAATCACACTTCAGAGGGCATAGGGACTTAGAGATGGTAAGAGATGGCCTAGAGATGCTAAGCAGAAACTCCATGCGCACATACATTTTAATGCGGGTATCTGCAAGACAGACTCGGGGTAGAGCCCACTGTGGGAAAGCTCTTAGGGCAAGGCAGAGGAGACAAGTCCAGGCTGACCAGAAATGGAGCAATTGGTGCATTTTTGCTTATTTGCTGGTTAACTGATACTATTCAGAGTAGTCAGTCAACTTTCAATGCAACGCTTGGACAACAAAATAAATGTTTGGCAAATCTATTTAAAAGTGAAACAGAGAAGTGACCCATGGCATTTCCTTACAGGTGCCTGAATTTCCACCTCAGGGCCCTTAATTAAGACGTGAGACCTTATACTGAGCTTCACAGGGGTAAATACCTCTTTACAGGGGTACAAAAGCAGTACCCAGCTAATTACATCTTGCTATACCAGGGGTATCATCTACTCCAACTCTCCTTCCGCCAGGAAAAGGGACTGGAAGGCAGGAGTCTCTCTCAAACAACGGTGTTTAGAAACCACTGTGTCTGGTGTCAGGAGCGAGCATTGCACGCTTACCAGAAACCCAGGGGACTTCAGTGCCCGAATCCTGTTTTCTCACACACTGGAGCGGCACAGTGGCTTTCCAAAGCATAGCTTAAACTTTCTGTTACTAAGCCTGAGAGCAGGAATCCCCATGGTTTGGATCTTAACAGCTGCAAAAAAATCTGTGTCACTTCCCACCCTGCGTGGGGGTCTCTGACCTGACAGATTGGCACGGGGAGCCCCACACCCCAGCCAGCCCCAGCACCCCCTGCTCACCACCACTGCTGGATCCATCCCCAGGAGCCCTGCACATCCATTTCACACATCCCACGAAACGCTCCCCCAGCGAGGCATCAGCTTGTGCACGACTCTTCACACCTCTCCTGCTGCCGAGCACGATGCTGCCTGAAACTCATCCACCACCGAAACATCACCACCTGGGATGAGTCAGGGTCTAAGACGCTCAACACCTTGGGGTTGCCAGCAACTCCCCTGCTCCCCTCCCACTGTTGAGTCCTTCAACTTCAGGACAATTTTGTGTCCCCAGACCTCACCTTGGCCAAGCATTCTGAGGTCTCAGCTACAGAGACCAAACCTCTCCAGTGGTCTACCATTTCTCTTTACCTAATTTACCTCCCTTGTCTCATTAAAGCTCACATGATCACAATTATCCCCCGATTAGCCAGCAAAGCCCTTGCTCTTGGTCAATGCTTTGCAGCTGCCAAAAGTAAAGGTGCAACTTCTGTGCTTGCAGAAAACAAGAACTTCTCCTTGCAAACCTTGGTGGCGGCAGCCGCCCCACCACCCATCCGAACTGGCTGGGAAGGCTGCCCGAGGAAGAGGAGGTGTTACCTGGGTGAGGTGTGGGTTGGGGTTGAAGCCGCACTGGTTGCAGACTTTGCTGTGACACTGGGTGCAGGCATTGAAGTTCGGCTGGCCGGGGGAGGAGGTGAGCTCCGTCGTCTTGCATATGGGGCAGAGCGTGCTGCTGGGGAGGGGAGCGATCTGCGGGAGCGAGTAGGGAGAGGTAGGGGTGCTGCCCCGGTCCGGTGATGCTGAGGGAGACTTCCCTGAGCCCTGGCTCCTGGCATCCACCTGCAGCATCCTCTGCGGTCCCTCTGCCGGTGGTCCGGGCTGGCCCCGGCCCCTCATCTCCCGGGGGCTCTGGGAGCTGGGTGCAGTCTGTGCCAGGGAGGGGGATGCCGACCGCTGGCCCGTGGCCTGATCCAGCTGCTCCGGTCTCCTCGGCATGCTGAAACACCATTAAAAATACACATAATAAGCCCAGGTTTAGTACATTTAATGACGCCAGTCAATGTAGAAAACATCTAAAGCACCCTCTCTACCCCTGAAGGCCCAGCTCAGCCAAGAAGGCACAGCGATACCGCACTGCAAACCTGGGAAATTGTTCAGATCAGCAGAAGGATACGCTTTACCTTACAAAATGAGGCATGATTTCAGCTTTCTCTTATATAACCCAGCAGCAGAGATGTAATTGAATTATCCGGCGTATTCCGAGTTGAACTTTAGTCAGAAAGTTACACATAAATGAGAAGCGAATGAGAAGTTTGGGGCAGCTCAGCCTCCTGCCAGCCAAGGGCTCCCCGTTAGCACTTCTCCAGCACAAGCGCGTGCTCGAAGAGGCGGCAGCAACTCTGGTTTGCAGATTGCGGGGCCCCTTCTGCACGGAGACGGCCAACGCGTGCTAAACCATCTTCTCACAACCTACTTTTATGAGTTGTTGTGAAACAAAAAGACTGCAAAGAGCCCTACTTATTGAAGGAAAACCCCTCCAGAAGCCCAAAGGAGGCAGGAGAACTACTTAGACTTTCTCGACTGTCTAGCTGCCCCCTCCCTATGGAAGTCACAGGTGAAAGCAACTGAGGGCTTGTTTCCCAGGGGCCAGAGCTGTGGGAAATTAAGAGAGAAGGCATCAGCTCTGCTCTAGTAATCATTACTAAAGTGAGATATGTAGGGAACAGGGGCTTGCATGGGCTGGCTGCCCCCCAGCTGAACCCTCTTCTGGGTGATGTGAGTCTTGGCTGGGCAGAAAACCGGCCGGGATGCATCAGGTGCCCACAACAGAGCTATGAAACCTCCCTGTGAAACCCCAGCTACCCAGAAGGAGCAATGCTGAAGGTGGCATTGCACTCGCTGCTGGTCAGGCAGCAGTCCCATAGCCTGCACAGAATACTCAGCACCCTGCAGCATGTGCTCCCTGCCACCCCAGAGCTCAGGGAGAGGGTCCGGTGGCCCCAGGGAGCTCTGGAGCAGCTTCAGCTGCCAGAGCTTTGAGTCCTTGTGTTGGAGAGCACAGCGTGAGTCGCCACGCACCCTACCTCCCATGTTATTTCAGCACAGGTACCCTGCAGTGTGCTGCTGATGGATGATGAGTGCACAAGAATGAATCTGCAACGGAAGATGTTTCTGTAATTACAGAATAATTTGGTGCACGTGCTTATCAATAATGCCCACAAATATTTCTCAAAAAGGCAGAAGCCCTAATGCCCTCGCTACCTGTGATCTACAGCTGTTTAAGAAAAAATATTACTCAGAAACTCAGATTTAATAAATTGCTGATTTACCCAAGCAGGGTCTGACCTTATAAAGGTTTAAAAAGGGAACTTAAATGCATACAACTAATGAAATTCAAAGTGCATGTTGCCACAGTAATAGGAAGTCAGATGAAAATAAATATTAAAATAGCACTTTGGGAATATTTTTCAGCTGCAGATTGAAACCCACTTCTCAGAAGGAGAAATCGCACAATAATAATAAAGCAAAGCAATAAGGGAGTAACTGATCTGCTCCAGACTGAAGAGCAAACCGCACCTGGCCCTGCAGCAAGACACCTGCAGTAAGCATGGTTTGCACGCCTTGCTCCTCCATCGTGAATACTGACGACCTTGAACTCAGAATTGGGATTTGCTTCCTGATGCTGAGGGCTGCAAAGCTGCTGCCCCATAAAACATGTGGCAGCCGTAGCTGATGGAGATGGGAGAGCTCAGTCCCAGACACCAGCAGAAAGTACTGTCAGAAAGCAAAATGCATTTTCGCTCCTTAAGTTTAATTCTTATAAAACCAGCAATATATATTCGAATACATACTATCCTAATGATGTATTAAACAACACTGAAATAACATTATTTGAAAAGTTTAATCTAGATACGGTCAAATAACTGTTGTTTGGAACAAGAAAAGGGTTATTCCACCACAAATTTCAAAATTCTTTTTTTTTTGCCATTTGATATGGAAAAAAATGTTTGCCACCAAGTGGGAACTCTGACTCCAAACTGGCTCTGACCACCGAAATACCACTCAACCACAGTTTCACTTCCCAGCTCAGTGAGAAAAAGAAAAAACTTACAGCAGCTACCCACAGCAGAAGTGTTTAGCAGTATATTAGTAGTTACCACCTATTTTTGCAGCTGGTATTAGTAGTACTAGCAGTCTGGCTTATTTAGTTCAAGCACCTTTCTTTAAATAAAGAGTGAATTTTTTGCAGCAAATCAATGTGAGAAGCGCAGTACCTCTGAAGCTACGCTCCATCAAGATGAGCTGTCACACAAGGCACAGACAAGTTCACTACGTTTCCTACCCAAAATAGAGTCTGTGGTTCTCTTGAAAGACCAAAACCCATGGGAAAAAATACACCAGGTGCTGTTATTTTGCCTTGAGCATCATTCCTGGCACAGAAGAGGGTGGAGGGCAGTTGGGCACTCGCTGCCCAGTGGGACAGTGCTGCTCTGGAGATGCTCTCCCAGCCTGGGATGAAGCTCCCACCTGGCTCCCTTCACCTTTTCAGGTGCAAAGAAATGCCTTGCACTGTCTCCATCCCGCTCCCAGCAGAGGTTTCGCTCTGTGCACTTATATCGTCACTGCATTTATTTATTTTATAATTATCCAAGATGCCTCAGCCATTCCATGACATGGGCTGGGCTGTCTCTCACTTGCACCAGTTGAATGTGTCTATGAAATTTTAAGACCAGAAGAAATCATCTGGTCTGTCAATACAGTAACTAAATAGAGGAGAGATAGCCCAGGAAAGAACATGAGAAGAGTCATATGAAATCAGATGCAGGCCCATGTTTTTTGCATCTTTTGCCAGGATGCTCCAATGTTTATATGTCTTGTACCTATCTATGAGCCCTTTTGTTGTTTTTACACAAGTCCCAACTGCAGCTCATCCCCTTTTTCATTACAGCCTTCTTTACCACTGATAAAAATATTAACTAGCATCGGGCTGCTAACCAGTTCCAAAGGAATTTCCCCCAGTGCCACTAGATTGCTTGTTAACAATTAGATTGAGATGTCTTGATAAGGCAGGATTTTACTCGTTTGATGGGGGCTGTATTGATTTTGCACCACCCTAACTGCTGAATTAGAAATATTGGGTGATGCTCAGTCAAACATCTCTGCAGGGTCCAAATTCAGCAGCGCTCTCACAATTACCAACAGAGTTATAATTTCATCCAAGTAAGGAATACCAAGTGCGTTTGACTAAGCTTACTAACAATTATACCATCAAGGTTTCCATTTATTATATCCTGTCTATTAATGCTTTTATCAAGAGAAGGTCAGGCAGGCAGCTCTATTAATCTGCCCGCAATCACCAGCAGGTTGGGCAGCTGGGAAAGTGCCATTTTCTTCCTTTTTTTTTTTTATTTTTAAATTGAAAAACGATGGCTTTCTTCTTGCTTTCTAAAACACCCTCATTTTACAGCATAAAGCCGACATAGCGTCAAACCAAGCCACAACCAGCCTGCTGCCCTGGTGCAGCCCAGCCAGCCTAAGCAATGCCCACCATCAGCCCTCTGCCCCTCAGCCTCTTGCCCAACCTTCTCCAAGTTTGTTGGAGCTGAAGTCTGACCATCCTTGGAACACGGGGCATCGAACCAGCCATAGCAGCACACAGCACCAGCCTCTGCTTTCTGCAAAGAATCTAGCATTTCACCGTCCAGAAGTATGTGGGGTAGTCCTGCGTCTGCAACATCAGAAGCCTGGGTTTCACTCCCAGCTCTGTGGCGTATCCCTGCCTCCTCTCTTACCTTCCCCACACAGTGAAAGAAGCATCTGCCCATCTCTCAATGCGAAGCATTGCAGAACACCCACAAAAATTAACCCTCAGCTCCATGCAAGAGAGGAGGCTAAACTGCAGGGTTGCTTGCCATGTAGCCCAGAGCTAAAAAACACCCTGAGAGATTAATCTGTACCCAGGTCTGCTTCTGCGTCAGATACTTCTCCTGATTAAAAAGGTGCAGAACTTGCCTTGTTCCACTCAGGAACGGGCACAGGTATGAAACCAGCCTTTCTATTTAGGGCTGGTGCAAACGTCTTGGCAGGCTGGGAGGAGATGGAGAACTAGGAGGGAAAAGCTGACTGAGATGATCAGAAACATGAACAGCATAATGAAAACCAAGGGTCAAAGCCATTCTCCACAAAATCAAGCTCAGCGGTGTACGATGTCACAAGCACCTCAGATTTTCTATGCCTGATTTTTTCCCTTCCATAAAAATTGTGGTTTTTCATTGAAATAACAAGAATTGGGAAGGCTTTAAAAACAAAATCCTATTTACAGCCAAAACAAATGTTAGACAGTTTGCTGGTTAATGTTTAATTTCAGGAAAAAATGTTTTGTCCTAAACCTAACTTTTGATGGCATGGCAGTGCCAGTGAAAATATGTCAGCAGCTTTAGGAAAGATGAAAGCAATACAGTGACATAGTATCGGTTTACAATCCCGTTCCAGTAAATTGATACAGCCTTCTTATTTGGGAATTCCTAGGAAAAGTCAGGGCCTGTAGAAGGGAATGGCTCTGATTTAACTTAAGTACGTTCATTGGTGCCACTAAATTCTACAGACAAGACCCAAGCTTGGAGCCAGCATCCCAAGAGATGTCAACGGGTCCTTTTTCACTCAAGATGCTAACTTGGGAGCAATAACTATCACAAGGTAAATGCCAACACCATTAACATCTTTGCTATAAAATCAAGTAATAATGATATTACACAAAATCTACATGCATGGCTGGTAAATCAAGTCTTGTTCAGGTGTGGTGTGTGGAAAAGTTCAAGAGAGACCATGTGCACTGGTTTTCTCCTAAGTGGTTTTCTCCTAATTTCACGTTTCCCCCTTGAACGCACTGGTCACATCCATCTGCTCAGCTGCCCTCAAAC